GATTGGGTATATGTACGCACTGCCTGTTCCTGAGCCAGCAGACCTACCAGACTCCGATTCCGAGTGAATGAGAACTTACCCGGTATCCTATGTTTGTGTACTAGTACTTTGTGTTTGACAATCAATATACTTATGTATGCTATTTTTATATGATTGCAAATAAAAAAAAAAATTTGAGGTCGTATATTGGTCGTCGTCGTCGCATATGGTTTATAACCACAAAAGGAAGATTGGGATTGATTTTGGGGGTTATAGGCCCAAATGTTTAGGAATTAGGGGCCAAAAAGGGGCCCAAATAAGCATTTTTCTAGTTTCCAGACAATAACTTGTGGAACGGTGTATGGATCTCTCTGAAATTATACCACAAGTTTCCATACCACAAAGGGATGGTTAGGATTGGCTTTGGGGGGTTATGGCTCAAACCGTTTAGGAATTAGGGGCAAAAAAGGGGGAAAAACAAGGGTTTCCTGGTTAAATGGACAATTAAAAAAAAGTACAATGTTATGTTTGGATTACCTCCCTTACACTGCTTTAAAATTATGTATAAAGAAATGTTGTATTGTCTTGAGGTGATAAGCTGTCAATTTATTTCTAGAAGTTACTATTTAAAAATGCTGATTAAGGAATATTAATTTTAGCCATGATTATGTATGTCATTTTCTATTTTAAGACACTTTTATGATGTATTTAAATGGGTAATTATGGTTGCAAACTCCATTGGAAATTTGAATTGAGATTATGACCATGTCTTGAGGGAAAGAATTTTTTTTATTTGGAAAAAGGGGGGGGGTAAAAGAAATTGTGAGGGGGGGGACAATTTTTCTCATTTCAGATTTCAGAAATTAAAAAGAAAATTTCTTCAAATATTTTTTTTTTGCAAAAAAGAGGGGGGGGGGGTAAAATGTTTTATTTTTCTTTTTTTTTTGGGGGGGTTGGAGGGGGTTCAATTCGCAACAGCATAAAACAAAAAAAGGGGGGGTAATTTTTTTTTTTTTTTTTTGGGAGGGGTGGGGTCAATTTGCAAAAGCACAGTGTATTTCACAAAAGCTAAAAAAAGGGGGGGGTCAATTTTTTTTTTTTTTGGGGGGGGGGGGGGTTCAATTCGCAACAGCATATTGTATTGCGCAAAAGCAAAAAATTTAATATAAATTCAAATCATATAACCAATTCTAAGTTCTTTGACTACAGTTTTCTGTGTCAGAAACCTATTATGTGTCAAATATTTAATTACAATCCAAATTCAGACCTGTATCAAGCGCGAATATTGTGTCAATTTGTGCCCCAACTGTTCAGGGTTGGACCTCTGCGGTCGTATCCAGCTGCGCTTGGCGAAGCAATTTATTGTTTAATAACGTGACCACGTGAACTGATTTTTGTCGAGCCTTCGACTTTTGTCGAAAAAGCGAGACATAGTGATCCTACATTCTGTTGGCGGCGTCGTCGTCGGCGGCATCCACAAATATTCTTTCTGTGGTTAAAGTTTTTGAAATTTTAATAACTTCCTTAAACTATCCTGATTTTCTACCAAACTTGGACAGAAGCTTGTTTATGATCATAAGATAGTATCCAGAAGTAAATTTTGTAAAAAAAAAATTCCTGTTTTTCCGTATTTTACTTATAAATGGACTTCATTTTTCTGCCAGGAAACATTACATTCACTCTGTGGTTAAAGTTTTTAAAATTTTAATAACTTTCTCAAACTATCCTGGATTTCTACCAAACTTGGACAGAAGCTTGTTTATGATCATAAGATAGTATCCAGAAGTAAATTTTAAAAAAAAAATCCTGTTTTTATTTTACTTTTAAATGGACTTAAATTTTTCTGCCAGGAAACATTACATTTACTCTGTGATTAAAGTTTTAAAAATTTTAATAACTTTCTTAAACTATCCTGGATTTGTACCAAACATGGACAGAAGTTTATGATCAAAAGCTAGTATCTAGAAGGAAATTTTTATTAAAATTTTGTACTTGTTTATCCATATTTTACTTATAAATGGACTTAGTTTTTCTTCCAGTTAACATTACATACAGTCTGCAGTTAAATTTTTTAAAACATTTATTAGATTCATAAACTATCCTGGATTTTTACCAAACTTGGACAGAAGCTTCTTACAATAAAAAAAATTGTATTGAGAGGAATATTTTTATCAAATTTTTTCCTCATCTCATTTTTGTTGCGCCTGCTATTAACAGCAAAAGTAGGCGAGACACTGGGTTCCGTGGAACCCTTACGAATTTTATTGTTTATGTACTCTCTATTGCGTACATTGTTTATCTGTGTTAAAAGGCTAATTTTAAAATTATTTGTGTAATAGACATTACAAGAACTTTAACTGTGACACCTGTTAACCGTTAAATAGTTATATTTTCTTAGCATCTGAATGAACTCTATAGAACTGTCGCAATTAATTAGTGCTATTTACCTATGGCCATAAAGTTGCCACTGTAGAACACTTAAAAGTTTCTGATCATTTTAATATGTTTAACATTCAAAGATAGAGACAGATTTAATGTATATTCTGGTCAGTTTTAAGGTTGTTGCTGTGAAAAGTTGGTTACATGTTTGCAATATATAAATATTGTATATGAACTCGATGTTGTCCTTTTAATTATTATTGAGGTGTAACAATCTGTCTGTATGTTCCAGTGCTTGATATTGCCGATCATGTAATCTAGGGCTTTATCTGATTTGAATGCAATTAAAAATTGTTCTTGTTATATATTGTTATTTGATGCTCAGAGTGACCAATAAAGATATGAAATATTTGTAGTCTTTATTTTATCAAATTTGATTTTTTATCAATCCTTTTCATCAGTACTTCAATCAAGACTTCGAAAAACTACTAGTAATGCAATACCACACGACCACAGGACACAAGCACATAAAAAAGAAAAAAAAAACACACAAAAACAAGAAATGATTGTAACAGGATGCTGTTACGAAGTCTCCCAAACGAAGCTCCCATAATTCGTAATTCCCAGGGTCGCCTGACATTGGACAAAGTATAGTGAAAATTGGTTTGGTCCAGTAAAGTTATATGCATTAGTGATGCCTGGGGACTAACCCTGTTTATCATTCAAATCATCTTGGCATGACAAACCAGAATATATATGGTTTAGGGGTGGGGATCTCGACCATTTACAAGATACTAGAACATTGGGGGTGGGGGGAACCCCTGGGGACTGACCCTAAACGTCATTCAAATGTTCGAGACATGACGAACAGGAATATATATGGTTTAGGGGTGGGGATCACGACCATTTACAAGATATTAGAACTTTCTCAAATGACAGGGGGTCGGGATGACCCCTGGGGACTAACCCTGTATATCATTCAAACCATCTTGGTATGACAAACCAGAATATATATGGTTTAGGGGTGGGGATCTTGACCATTTACAAGATATTAGAACTTTCTTAAATAGCAGGGGGTGGGGGTGACCCCTAGGGACTAACCCTGTATATCATTCAAACCATCTTCGCATGACAAACCAGAATATATATGGTTTAGGGGTGGGGATCTTGACCACTTACAAGATATTAGAACTTTCTTTAATGGCAGGGGGTGGGGGCGACCCCTGGGGACTAACCCTGTATTTCATTTGATGTGCTTTATCATGACAAACCAGAATGTATATGGTTTAGGGGTGGGGATCATGACCATTTACAAGATATTAGAACTTTCTTAAATAGCAGGGGTTGGGGGTGACCCCTGGGGACTAACCCTGTATATCATTCAAACCATCTTTGCATGACAAACCAGAATATATATGGTTTAGGGGTGGGGATCTTGACCACTTAGATATTAGAACTTTCTTAAATGGCAGGGGGTGGGGGTGACCCCTGGGGACTAACCCTGTATTTCATTTGATGTGCTTTATCATGACAAACCAGAATGTATATGGTTTAGGGGTGGGGATCTCGACCATTTACAAGATATTTGAACTTTCTCAAATGGCAGGGGGTCGGGATGACCCCTGAGGACTAACCCTGTATATCATTCAAACCATCTTAGCATGACAAATCAGAATATATATGGTTTAGGGGTGGGGATCTTGACCACTTACAAGATATTAGAACTTTCTTAAATGGCAGGGGGTGGGGGTGACCCCTGGGGACTAACCCTGTATTTCATTTGATGTGCTTTATCATGACAAACCAGAAAATATATGGTTTAGGGGTGGGGATCTCTACCATTTACAAGATATTAGAACTTTCTCAAATGGCAGGGGGTCGGGATGACCCCTGGGGACTAACCCTGTATATCATTCAAACCATCTTAGCATGACAAACCAGAATATATATGGTTTAGGGGTGGGGATCTTGACCACTTACAAGTTATTAGAATTTTCTTAAATGGCTGGGGGTGGGGGTGACCCCTGGGGACTAACCCTGTATTTCATTTAATATGCTTTATCATTTAGAACATTTTCAATTAAAAAGATTGTGTCTATCACAAACGGTTTTCAATTTATAATCATTTGAAAATTTTAAAAAATAAAATCCCATAGGGTTCTATAGTAAAACCCTCCTTTCTTATTGCCCCTCAAAATACCCCTTTATAAACCCCATTGCACAAACAAAACCCTGATTGCACCACTAGACATGTTAGTCTAACATATTGTGAAACCCTAAGTTAATCTGACAAGCGGTTTTGGAGAACGGGTGCGGACAAGTTCAAATTTAAAAGTGGCGGAAGAGGAAGAAGAAGAAGAATAATAATAAGAACTGAGCAAAACCAATAAGTCTTCCCAAACTTCGTTTGGGAGACTTAAAAATATTGATATTTTCCTTACACTGCATTTTCACCTTCAATTGCCTTTATTACGAGAGTCTTATCAAATAGGATAAAGAAATGGCTACTTCCCACTTAATTCCTTCTATGAATAGAAAAATAGTATAAAGGACCGAAATGACCAAGGACGAACAGTTGTATGGCCGAAACGACATACGGCCGAACGGGTTCATGGCCGAAACGTCTCGAAAGCGATGCTTACCTTGGACACCAAATATTTTCTTCAATATCTGTTACTTTGGTAATGTGCAGATCTCCTTTTCTGGAAAAAAAAGGTACTCACTGATTCAACTAAGCATTGCTCATATTTGATTTGTCCACCTTTAGAGTCATTAAGAATTTTCTAAAAAAGTAGGTCCATGTAGGCCTGAATTTGGCACTTAAAATAGAACTTTGTAATATCATATGTTATAAACAGCTGCGACAAAAGAGCACATGATACACCATTTTTGCACATATTGAAATTGTTCCAATAATAAAATGGAATATTAAAAAGCTATTCAATCAGAAGCAAATAAAATGGCTCTGTAGAAAAACATGCATGAAGATACTCTCAGGCATATAAGTAATGTCAATTATGTTAAAAGTCCCATAACTCTGGAATGACAAACCAGAAAATTTTCAAAATTCAAAAGAGTACAATTACCAATCCTAACAACAATGTTAAGGGTGAAGCAATTTGATCCAATAAAATTGAAAATACTACTCCATGACATTTAAAAAATGTCTTATATCTATTTGATTGTCAAAGTGCCATAACTCTGGAATGAAATATAAGAAATATTTTTAAATTGAATAGTGTGTTAAGTTCCCCAATCCTAACAATTATGTAAAGTTGTTTAAAGTTTCTATTATCTATAATAGATTTCAAGTTAGTAGGCAAACATGCTAATAAATAGCTGCACCAAAAGCGCATGATACGCCCTTATTGTGCATATTGAAATCGTGATACAATAAAATGGGGTATTTCGAAGGCATTTAATCATAAGCAAATAAAAAGGCTCTGAAAAAAACATGCCTGAGGTTACTGTTTTTAAAATCAAATAGTTTGTTATAATCACCCATTCCACTTAAATCAATCCAAGCCAACTCCAGGTACAGTATGTGAAAAATTTACTAAAATCTGACAATTAAAGTCCCATAACTTTAGAGCAACAAACCGTAAAATTTTACAAATTAAAAAGGGAGCTTCCTTATACCAATCCCTTCAATAATGTAAAGTTTGGAGGATATCAATCCAGGAATACTGGAGTAAGTGCATGATTTGTGAAAAATTGTGTTAAATCTAAGGGTCAAAGTTCTGTAACTCTGGAATGACAAAACCAACTAGAGGCTCTCAAGAGCCTGTGTCGCTCACCTGATTCTACTTTGGTTTTGGAAATCATGTAAAAATAGATTAAAATCATAACAGATACCCTAATAATGAGTGAGGTTTAATATTGGTCCTGTAATTTAATAAAAAATCCTGGTGGCCATCTTGAACAGTAAATCAGCAACAAAGTAGCAACACTTCATCAGCACCTCATAAGAAACATTTATGCCATGTTTGGTTTCATTCCATTCAGTGCACCTCTAGAAGAAGCATTTGTATGTATTTCCCACAGGGTCTTATGTTAAAGGAAGTCCCTCCCACTGGCGGCCATCGTGGATGAAGGTTTAGCTTCAAAGTAACAACACTTAGTCAGCACCTCATAAGGAACATTCATGCCATGTTTGGTTTCAATCCATTCAGTATGTGGTTCTCTAAAAGAAGACATTTGTATGTATTGTCCATAGGGTCCTTTGTTAAACATTGTCCCCAGCTTGCAGCCATCTTGGAGGATGGATCTGCTTCAAAGTAACAACACTTGGTCATCAATTCATAAGGAACATTCATGCCATGTTTGGTTTCATTCCATTCATTGGTTCTCTAAAAGAAGACATTTTTATGTATTTCCCATAGGTCCTATGTTAAACTAAGTCCCCCGCTGGCGGCCATCTTGGATTATGGATCGGCTTCAAAGTAACAACACTTGGTCAGCATCTCATAAGAAACATTCATGCCATGTTTGGTTTCATTCCATTCAGTGGTTCTCTTAAAGAAGACATTTGTATGTATTTCCCATAGGGTCCTATGTTAAACTAAGTCCTCCGCTGGTGGCCATCTTGGATTATGGATCGCCTTCAAAGTAACAACACTTGGTCAGCACCTCATAAGGAACATTCATGCCATGTTTGGTTTCATTCCATTCAGCGGTTCTCTTAAAGAAAACATTTGTATGTATTTCCCATAGGGTCCTATGTTAAACTAAGTCCCCCGCTGGCGGCCATCTTGGATGATTGATCGGCTACAAAGTAACAACACTTGGTAATCACTTCATAAGGAACATTCATGCCATGTTTGGTTTCATTCCATTCAGTGGTTCTCTAAAAGAAGACATTTGTATGTATTTCCCATAGGGTCCTATGTTAAACTAAGTCCCCCGCTGGCGGCCATCTTGGATGATTGATCGGCTACAAAGTAACAACACTTGGTCATCACTTCATAAGGAACATTCATGCCATGTTTGGTTTCATTCCATTCAGTGGTTCTCTAGAAGAAGTTCAAAATGTAAAAAGTTAACGACGACGACGGACGACGGACGCCGGACGCCAAGTGATGAGAAAAGCTCACTTGGCCCTTTGGGCCAGGTGAGCTAAAAATGAAAAAAATTGAAAGGGAGCTTTCTTCTGTCGAACCTAATGTTATTTCAAAGATTTTCAATCCAAGCAAACTCAAGTTATGGTACAGCATGTGAAAACTTTAAAAAAATCTGACAATTAAAGTCCTGAACAGTAACTCTGAAACGGAATACTTTAAAACTTCAAGAGGAGCTTCCTTTTATCAATCCAAAAAAATAATGTAAAGTCTGAGGAAATCAATCCAAGCATACTGAATGTAGTGTGGGATATACGAAAAATTGCCTTAATTCAAACAGTTAAAGTGATGGATAAAAATCCCAATGCCTTGTATTTTGTGACCTTTGTCACAAACAAAAATATTAGGGAAATCAATAAAATCAGTAAATCCACTCTATTATTCATATTCAAAATATTACTATATACTTTTGGGAACATGTTGAAGCAAGATTTGTGTACTGGTCCAACCATTTCTTCATCTGTGGGATGTATTTCTTGATTTCTTCTAGAACCTCTCCTTCTGTTGCATTACATTTGTACCTAAAATATTTCAAATATATCCAATAAATATAACAATCAATGATGTGAACATGAGTGGACATGACACTAGAGGCTCCCAGGGGCCCAAATTTTCACCTAGCAAAAATATACAGCATTAAAGTCATTAGTAACACTGGCAGCTATCTTTCACATATTAAGTAGCCCTATAAAGGTTTCATTGACAATTTCCATCACTTCAATTCCTGACGGTCTTGTCTTGCCATTTACATTTTTTGCTGCTTAAATTTTTTTTTTCTATCGATTTAAGTATACCTGCAGTCAACTAACCAGATTTTTGCTGGTCACACCCAGAAACTCACCAGAGGTATTTCAATACTTGACCTGATCATTAAATCACCTGGTATTTCAGTATGTGACCCTTGTTCACCCATAATACAGTGCCATCAGTCTTTCGGAATCTAAAATGCTAGATTTTCCTCTTAAATCTTAAATACAGTCAAATTTGAAGTTTTTCCTAGACAGGCAGAGCAATAATTTGATCTTAATAAATGTTTTTACAGCTGTCAAACAATATTCTGTCCCTCCATGGAAAGATAACTATTAACTAATTATCTTGTTAATTGTACCTTAGAAAGGTGGAAACCTGACAAGAGCCAAGTTAGCAAAAGTCAATAATTTAATAATAAAATCAATTTAAAACAATTGACCTAATACATAACTGTTCGAAGAGAGAGGTCCAAAACTGGTTTAAAACCATTTAATTTTGTAAGTAAACAAGAAATGAGCTGTCAAATTGATAGCTAACCAGATTTTCTGTATTTGAAAGGTAACCATTGTTGACCTTAAAGAGGGCAGATGGTACTACTAAAATTGATGTATTCTATGTATGACACTTTCATGATTGTTTCCCCTGCTACTTTCTGTGCCTATTTTCCAATCTATCAACGGCATAAATTCCTGAACCGCAAAAGGTAAAATCATCAATATCTAACTTGACCTCTATTTTGACATCAGTAACAATTAATAACATTATAATGTTTAAAATCTGTTGATACAAACATAAAATCAGTATGACCATTCCGACAGTTTCGTTGCTTGATTTTTGTCAGTATATATTAATTTATTCATTTAATAGAAAAGATAGGATATGGGGTATCCATCCATGACACAAAATCAGTATGCATACAGCAAAAAACACAAAAAAGCAACGTAACAGCGCTTTAATTGCTGTTCTTCATCTCAAAGTGACAGTGAGGCCTTCAACACAGAGCAAACAAACTCTTATCTCACTGCAAGTTTAAGACAGACCCTAGCACCTGTTTGAGGGGAATTCTTTGAAAACTGACGATCACGCCACAACTGTGAATTGAGGAACAAAGCCATGCAGTAATATTAATAAAATAAATCTGGGAAAGAAATCAAATATGTACTGTCATAATTGAGCCCAGACTTTTATAGATAACGTTTTTTTATCAACTGCTCTCTATAAAATTTACCTATTGGTTGTGGGCATTTGGTTAAAGATTGCCCTGTGTTTGGAGGATAGAGGGATACATTTTTTTACTCTTTCTGTTTAAACTGTTACTTTCTAACTAAGAGAAACTTATAAAACTAAAATCGGGACTTGTTTGTTTTTAGTTATTATTTATTACACAGAATACAAAAGTGTCTTTCCCCTGCTTCAGAGACCCGCGACCGCCTATGAAAATTTCTTCCTGAGGTAGCAGGGAGAAAAATGTCCCCTGCTTCAGAGAACCGCGACCGCCTATGAAAATTTCTTCCTGAGGTAGAAGGCAGAAAAAATGTTTCCCAAAGTTTATTGAATATTTACAAATTATACAACAATCAAACACAATTTGTTATATCTTTGCATCTAAGTGACCTATAGGAATATTTGTGACATCAAATTCTAGAATTTCTAAGGTTGATAGAATTCAGTTTTCAAAATAAATGGAGAATGTGTCTATGGGCCACAGATGCCCCCACTTGTAAATATGCTTGAGTCATCTTCCACAAACAGATGCAGGATTCACATAGTTAAGACCGTTTTGTGATTATAAGCATTGTGTAAAAGTTTCATAACATTTGGTTGAGTCAAACTAAAGAGAACAGAAACGAAAAATTCAGCAATTTTCATGTTTATAAAGGGGCATAACTCATGAACGGTAAAAGTGACGCCACCCAATTTCGAACTTGATCTGTGTTTTGTGGTAATAAGCATTGTGTATAAGTTTTATAACATTTGGTTGTAGCAAACTAAAGTTAGAGAACAGAAACCAATTTTGGGGCTGTACGAGACGGACAGACAGGACAGACAAGGGTAACACTTAATGCCCCCTCCGCTACGGCGGGGGCATAACTCCATACAAAATACATTAAAGATAAATATGAAAGAGTTTTATGCTTGTTAAAGAGTTTATATGTTAATGTGAGAACCATCTGCACAATCTAAACTATAACTCATTCAGTTTGAGCTCCATGATTTCCTGAAATTCCTACAAATTAGTTTCCAAGTATTATAGAAGTACTATACAAATATTACAGAAGTAACATTTAAATACATAAATTTAGCCAATTAGGTCATGACCTGCATTTTCACTTTCCAATACATGTGATTCTTCCAGCGGGAGTCAAAACCTCCTGATTTCAAGCCCTCTCCCTCCCCTCCCATTAAAAATTAAAATCTTTGGCTTTTTGGATATTTCAACCCTGAAAATTTATCAGTCAAAATTTTTGTTATATCATCGATGTCATTCCCTGATATCGATTTTGTGTCACTGGTCAAGGTAATTTCTTACATTGTTATTGAGGGAAATTTGAACAATTCATTGGTTTAACTTAACAGCTTCAGTTCAAGTCTGTGTATTTCAAACATGTTTTGCAATAGAAGTTACTTCCCCTGTTTACCCTGTTTTTTCAAATTCAATCCTCAAAATAATGTTTATTGGTAAAAATAATAAAAGCAAATTAAAAGGAAAGTAATATAAAAATATTTATTAAATGATTTTAACTTTCTGAGGACAAACCAAATAAATAAACAGCTGCGCCATGAGCACATGATACGCCCGTCGTCTTGTGTGTGAATTTTTATGCAATACGGCGTGACATGCGAAAACCCCCTTTTTTTTTACAAAAAACTCAATATCTCTAAAATAAAATTTTGAATCAAAACCAAAAAGTATACAGATCTTTAGATTAACATAACTAAGAAGTGGGTAAAATTTTAAGCATAAATCATAAATCTTTTTGAGATACGGCGTGACATGTGAAAACCCCCCTTTTAAAAAAAAAAAATCAATATCTGAAAAATAAAATTTTGAATCAAAACCAAATAGTATACAGATCTTTAGATTAATATAACTAAGAAGTGTGTAAAATTTTAAGCAATAATCATAAATCGTTTTTGAGATACGCGCGACATGTGAGAAACACCTCCCCCTTTTTTTACAAAATACTCAATAACTCAAAAATGAAATTTTGAATCATCACCAAAAAGTATACAGATCTTAAGGTTAATATAACTAAGAAGTGTGTAAAGTTTTAAGCAATAATCATAAACTGTTTTTGAGATACGGCGCGACATGTGAAAAACCCCTCCCCCTTTTTTAACAAAATACTCAATATCTCTAAAATAAAATTTTGAATCATCACCAAAAAGTATACAGATCTTAAGATTAATATAACTAAGAAGTGTGTAAAGTTTTAAGCAATAATCATAAATTGTTTTTGAGATACGGCGCGACATGTAAAAAAAAACACACACCTGTTTTAGTTACTAAGTCACGTAACTCAAAAAGTTTTAATCTTATTTTCACCAAAAAGTATACAGATCGTTTGACCATCATAAGAAACAACTATGTTAAGTTTCATGAAATTTGGATAAGTCATTCTCAAGTTACGGTGCGACATGTTTACGCCGGACAGACAGACGGACACCGGACATTTTGTATACCATAATACGTCCCGTTTACATTATCTTCAATCCTAATGATCTCTATCAGTCTAATCTGAATGACTGTGTTCATACTACAAGTAAAAATGCAATTGATCTGACCTAATTACCTGGGAAATTGTAAACACTGTGTATAAATAGAAATATTCAATCAAATTAATGTGTTCATACACAGGCTTGCAAAAAATAATGGATGAAGTAATTGTTTCACTTGAATTTCAAGTTCAAATGTTGATACTGCTGTTCGTATAGTTTTCGATAATTTTCAGCCCTTTATTGGTCATCCATTTTGTAATAAATTTCATGTGTAATTTTTCAGCCATACATGCACACAAATTATTTTCGATTCAATCTTACTAATTAAAACCAATCTCTGCGTTCACATTCAAAGAACGATCGGTTCACTTTAGATCAATTAAAACTAAACTACCTCTTTTTGTGTTTTAATTTAGACCGACTCAAGATCGATTGAAAGTGTTCACATTGGGTTTAAATCGATCTCAAGTAAACCGATTTAGTTTAAATCGATCTAAATGTCAAAGTGTGAATGGAGTCTTAATTTTTTTTTACTGATACCTGGTACACCAATTATACTTTTTATTTCCAAAAAGATCACAACAAATGAATTTTATTTTTATTGGACAAGATAGTGAATACACCATTTAACTCCTCATGACTTCTTATTTTTATCATGAATAGATGTTTGGTGTTTTTTGAAGTCCAAATGGAGTTCAAAGCTATAACATCATATTTTTAAATATGACAAATGCGAAAGTTCTACATTTATCTTGTTAAGAGAATACACTAATGATAATAATCTTATCTTAAAACTAGAGGCTCTAAAGACCCTGGAGTCGGTTTCACAAAAAAACTTACGACTTAGATTGATCGTAAGTATACTGAATTGTTCATGACTTACGAACAATCTTAGTCGTAAGTATTTTTGTGAAACCGACTCCTGTCTCACTCACCTAGGTCTATGAGCATCTTCAACAATGGGCACTCTCCTACATTGTGGACTATAATAGAATCCATGACAAAAAACTCTTTTTTGTTGATCTTGTATTGCTGATTTTTTACCCAAAAA